AAATTTCTATTTTTAGTAACCATGGCAACAATGTTCATCAAAATCCAAAACTGGTAGAGAGAATTATGTATACCAAAATTAAGTACAAATTAAGTACGAAAAAAAGTACAAAAAAAGGTTACAAAAAGTATACTTTTTTCGACTCAATTTGGAACAAGGGATTTGGTCGTTTCAAATTGAGTCAAAAAAGTATACTTTTTTGTTGCTTTATGAGAACTTAGGTTCTCGGTTACAAAAAAGTATAACAAAAGTATACTTTTGGTACATTTCCATATTTGAGAAAAGTACATAAAAAGTATAATTGGAAGTACAGAAAAAGTATATTCTTAAAACTAACATACAAAAGTACAAAAAAAGTAGATCTGGTAAAAAGTACAAAATGTATGAATTACAAAAAAAGTATACTTCCAGAAAAAAGTACAGAAATGTATGAAGTACAAAAAAAGTATACTTCCAGAGAAAAGTACAAAAATGTATGCAGAAAAAGTATAAAAATAGTACTTCTTTAGATTGATGCTTAAAAAAGTACAATAAAATCTTCATTTGAATATGCTAAATGATTTCAGCCTTCAAGTACTTTTCCTTGGGTTCTGCAAAAAAAGTTAAATAATCAAAACATATTTTTTTTCAGTTTTAAATCAAACATGTTCTTAAAAAGCAGAATTCCTGTGCTTAATACACGCAGACTGACAGACAGTATCATATATTCAGTTTAATATTCAAACTAACTTGAAAACCAATTAAAACTCAAAATTCTTTTGTGAAAATCAAAAAAATTAACTTCCGATCATCCCCATCACTTATAAAATTTTAAAATAAGTCTTTTCAGTGCATGAGTATATTAAAGACAGACAAAACTACTAATTTGATATGACTCTATACTGTATTTTACAGAAATCAGATTAGATTAATATGTACTTACTGATGATAAGATACACTTAAATTGTTGAAGCATTTTTCTATGGCTCTGCATGTTAGTGAGATGCTCATGGCAAAAAACATGCATTCACTGCTGAAAATTATAAAAGAAAAATCAGGTAACGAATGTTTGAGAACTTCTCTGGCATTATATCCACACACAAACATTTAATACTTTTCATTTTTTTAAAACAATGATTTTGAAAAATTGTAAAGTGAGTTTGACATCCCTGTCTAAATTCTTAATGTTGTATAAGCAAATTAGAAAAATAATCATGTGTCTCAATATTATGTTTAAACAGCCTTCTTTTTTGATGCTCTCCTAAAAGGCTCCTTGCCACTGGCCACACAATGGTTACAAATAGGAAGTAGAACCTTAAATTGTTTATTTTATTGTCTGCCAGTTGAGGACAGTGATATAAATTTTGAGATGTTGGTCAAAATACAAATTCAAAAAAAAAATAATTTTTTTTAACTATTTCAATATATCTTCATTTTTTTAAAATAAGTGTTAAGTGACTGTGTAGAAATTGTTCTTAAAATAAACTCGATACCTTAAGTAAAAATTCCTATCATATAATAGACAGGGAGTATTGGGGAGGGGGGTTAAATTTTATCAATTTAAGTGTAAAATAATTTTTCTGGCTGCCATATTCAAAAACGATACTACATGCTTGTATATATTTGTTTTCTTTTATACCGTAGTTGAAATATTTCATTTCTTTAGGCTATATCTTATTTCACCCTCAAATTCATTTAACTTCTCCCATAGTTTTATTCATTACATCTGATGCATAAGCGATCCTTTTTCTGAAGAATGTTGCTTAGACTGTAAGCTAAAGCAGAGACCGAAACAATGTCTCTGGCTATAGCTACCATGGGCAGTTTTTAACCTGTGGAAGGAAATTAATTTACATGCAGATACTTTTGAATTTGGATACATAATTATCTCACTAACATATGTCATTGTGAAACAAAGTTGTCAGAATTTTATTTGTCCTCTGAACAGGTGAAACGTTTTGAATGGCACTCCTATCGATAATTTTTACACTAATCCAAGCTATGATGCTGCTCTAGACTCTGCAGATCTACTCGATTTAACTGCCATGTTTATCTTAAACTGAAACTACGAGTTCTTAATTTCAAATATCGATCCCAACTCAAATTCGACATTGGAAAGAAAAAATCCCATTTTTCTCAATTTTATTTTTTTTCTGAAAGTTCAGTAACTTGAGTGGCGAGTTTGTAAACCTTAAAATAAAAAAATGCTGGCCTTACATTGAGCCAGAGAAAAAGCATGTTCCAGTATGTTAACTTAAGTTTATATACGTCGTCATACTGATCAAAACAAACCAGAAATCGAAGACACAAATGTCCACAATTACGTAAAATCTACGTTGAAATTCTCCACTGAATACATTTCTAAAGTGGTAAAATGCATTTCCTGCTAACAACATATAAAATTTAAATATAAATATAGTCTTACCGACTTCTTTATCTCCTTTTTGTTCTCAGCATTTCCATCCCACCAATTTTCAAATCGTCTCTGAAAAATCCGCGCTTCATTGTTGATCAATCGTAGAGTTCATAAGAGTCATGTGATCAAAAAAGGAAATAAATAATTACTAAATTAGTTCACAAAAACACCAAAATTCCTGTAATAATGTTTTTTAAGTCATCATATTTATTTTACAGCCGTTTTGTGTGTAATATACTCGATAGGTAGCTTTACCATCATCATGACCGCCATTTTGTTTTATGATCGTCGTCGCCATTTTGTTTGTTTGTTTGTTTTTTTTTTAAATAAAATCATTTTATTTAATAAAGCCACAAGAAATTCTGGATGCCCTTGTTAACTGCTAAAACATCCTAATCAAACTGGCAGTCTTCATTCTCAATGTCGAAATATCTGTTACAGCATGGACTTGTGCACATGCTACTTATATAAATCGTGTACATGTAAACATGATGAAGTTCCTTGTGATAAATAAAACAATGGGCATGGTGCATCTTGGAGGCTTTTGTATTTATATTCGTGCCTTCCTATTTCCGCTTTTAATTATTAAAATATTAATACTATCAACCCTATTTTACTTTTATTAAATTAGCCTGCATTTCATCCATTTTGTTTACAATGATAGCCAAATTTATAATGAGTAATTTCGTTAAGATTCACCAAAACTTATTGTGAAATGTGCAACTTCACAAGTTTCCACAAGTCTATACAACAAAGGTCATTGAGTACAAACACCTGTGTCACTTGAAATCAGCAGTTTGCACATGAGAGAGAGAGAGAGAGAGAGAGTTGTGAAATATAACTGGACTACTTGTTCATGTTGATACATATAATTCCCTCTGCAGAACATTGTAGAAGATTTCCCATTAAATAATGTTACATTTTTGTATTTCCCAAGAGAGAGAGAGAGAGAGAGGGGGGGGAGAGGGGGAGATAATTATTCCTCTATTCAGATTTACAATGTAATTTACAGAAGGTTGACTTGATCTTAATGATTATAATAACATGAATAATTTAGGACTTCTGTTGAACATAAAATGGACAATGCATTAAAAATATTGATACATGTATATAAGACTACCCCCCCCCCCCCCCTCCCAATTTTAGAACTAAAATATTTCGTAAGGTGAAGAGAGAAGAATAAAGGAACACAAATGGATTTTTTAATTCCCTATGAATTATTCAACTGATTCAATGATCTTAAACCCATTGGCATTTGTAACAATAATGTTCATCCCCCCTTTTTCTGCAAGAAATATACATATACCTATACTCTCATGCTAATAACATAATTGGGTTCTGAATGTATGTAATAACACCATATTAAATCATAAGAATAATGTAATTAATAATTGTGTAAAACTGTGTTCTACACCCCCTGTCTTTTTTCCATATTTTTTAACACTATATATATTAACATACATATAATGATACATAGATTGTAATATCATTTCATCACTACAATTTTTTTTTAATTATCGAATAATCTGTTTGAAATTTCAAAATTAATTTTTATCACAATGAGAAAAAAGCTAAGTCCAAATTAGGTACATAAAAAGTACATCCTTATTTTACTGATTTTGCCAAAAAAGATTAAGTCCCAGAAAAGTATACTTTCAGTACAGTGAAAAAAGACTAAGTCAAAATTAGGTACAAAAAAGTACTGTGGAAAAAAACTAAGTCCTAAAAAGTACAAAAAAGTACTTTGGAAAAAAAACCTAAGTCCAAATAAAGTACAAAAAAAGGTCATCAGCTTTCAGAGGCTATCTGGCCCAGTACAAAAAAGTATACCTTTTCTGACCTTTTTCTAAAAAGCACAAATTTATATAGTACAAAAGTAGCATAAGAGTATACTTTTTTGTACTTTATTTTGGTATGAGTAATAGTTAAGTCTGCTTGTGTGCCAAGTTATACTGAAATCAGACCAAAACTGTAGGAGGAGTAGCATTTTGAAAGTATTTCAAGGAAATTTCTATTTTTAGTAACCATCGCAACACCGTTCATTGAAATCAAAAACCGATATACCGAATTATGTATCTTAGTATGGTCTACTTGTGTGCCAAGTTAAATTGAAATTAAACCAAAACTGTAGGAGGAGTAGCGTTTTGAAAAATTGTTTACAGATGGACAGACAGACGATGGACACCTTACTATCGCATAAGCTCTTCTGGTCTCTGACCAGTCGCGCTAAAAAATATCTTAACCCTTAAATGAAACAATCTTTGTATTTATTACTTAAGTTTGATATGTTTCCGACATAAATAAACATTTTATGATCAATTAAATTTATATATAAAATCACATTTTCAAGTGATTTTATTGTAGGCCAGAAAATGACCTTATAGAGAATTGTCCTTTGACCAGAAAAGCTCACTGGAGCCTTCGGCTTAGGTGAGAAAAATGTGAAAAGTTTACAGGAGGAGGGATGGACAGACAGACGGATGGCCGGACACCAGACAATGGATGGTCAGAAAAAGCTCAAGCTTTCAGCTCAGAGGAGCTTAATACAGAAAACTGATAGCTATATAATAATTAAGGTACAATATTTATATATCATTCTCTTAACCTTCAATATTGAAGCTGTTTCTAACATCTCTGCCATAAATGTTGAAATCCCTTTCACTTGATTATCACCTGCACCAACACGAGCCAGAATGCTATCCACAATGGTCACTTTTGCCTCACTGCATGGAACAAAAGATCCAATCTGTGCCAGAAGAACAATGACTCCAGCCTGAAACATCAAGATTATTAAAATTATTTTAATGTAATTAATATAGTTTAAATAAACAGATATCAAATTATTCAGCACATGGTTTACCAAAGTCACATGATCATAACAGCCAATCAGATTACTCCTCAAGTTTGTCTCTCTCAAATGATTTTTGCAAATTTCAAGTAAATTCCTACGGATTTTATTTATATGACTTACATGAAACTTTACCAGTGTTATTTTTATTCTCAGTTGTGGACTGTATAATTTAAATATCGGATAAATCATGCATTTGTGTAGTTCTATTTGTGTTTGTTTATATGGACATGGGCAAATAGTTCCATAAACTATGACCCATGAAATGTGATTATTGAGTGTTTCTATATTTATCACAAACTGACAATGTCTGGAAGGAAAAGAAAACATGCCAAGACACCAGTAGAAACAGGATCTCCCATGCTACAAAGTAACATCATTCAAGGTAAAGATATTAACCTAGCTTTACTTATCATGCCACATGAAGTAGAAGAACAAAGGGTGACTGACAGTGAAGGTTGATACATCTTGCTAAAACAAAATCAAGATGCTAGGTTGTTGAGGAACTTAACTCTAAACAAGTTAATTATTGCCTTTATGAAATACAAAAACAACATTTGTGAGTAGTAGAAAAAAATATTTTGAGAGAAATTATGCATTTTCACCATATAATCAATAGACCTTCACAAAAACCCCTGACCCAGGGGCCATGAATTTTACAATTTTGGAAGAGGCATTCTTCCTTATCAAAACCATGCACTTTCTTTGTTTGAATTAATACCCAGGAGCAGAGAAGAAGATTTTGAAAGAATTTTGCATGTTCCCTATATAATCAATAGAGCCCCGCCCTTACACTGACTTTTTTCCCTATAAGTTTGAAATTTCATTGTGGCCCCACCCTACCCCTGGGGGTTATTGATTTGAACAAACCTGAATCTACACTATCTGAGGATGCTTCCATATAAATATGACTGACCATGGCTTTGCTGTTCTTCATCAGAAGATCTTTAAAGATTTTTCCTATATATTCCTATGTAAAACTTTGATCATCCGTTGTGGCCCCACCCTACCCCCGGGAGTCATGATTTGAAAGAACTTGAATCTTCACCACCTGAGGATACTTTCACTTAAATATGACCAATCATAGCTTTGCTATTCTTGAGAAGAAGATTTTTGATGATTTTTTCCTAGTATATACTCCTGTATTAAACTTTGATCATCCATTGTGGCTCCAACCTATCCCCGGGGGTCATGATTTGAACAAACTTGAATCTACACCACCCGAGGATACTTGCACATAAATATGACAAATTATTGCTTTTCTGTTCTCAACAAGAAGATTTTTAAAGATATTTCCTATATATTCATATGTAAAACTTTGATCGTCCATTGTGAACCTACCCTACCCCCGGGGGTCATGGTTTGAACAAACTTGAATCTACACAACCTAAGGATGCTTCCATATAAATATGACCAATCATAGCTTTGCTGTTCTTAAAAAGATTTTTAAAGATTTTTCCTCTTGAGTAAAACTTTGATCATCCATTGTGGCCCCACCCTACCCCTGGGGGTCATGGTTTGAACAAATTTGAATCTACACTACCTGACAATGATTCCATATGAGTTTCATCTTTCCTGGCCTATTGGTTCTTGAGAAGAAGATTTTTCAATGATGCCATTAATTTTTCACTAATTTGTAATTATCTCCTCTTGGAGGAGGGTATGGCCCTTCATTTAAACAAACTTGAATCCCCTTCATCCAAAGATACTCTGTGCCAAGTTTGGTTGAAATTGGCCCAGTAGTTCTGGAGAAGAAGATGAATATGTGAAGAGTTTACGACAACAATAAGGACGACAACAGACAAAGGATCACTTCTAGGTAAATATATGTGTTGACCTATAGGGCGATATTGGTTTCAGTCTTTAGATAAAGCTTATCGATATCTGTTCCGGTCGCTGACTTTAGGCCACATGCGTGTAGTTTCTTGTTTCTCATGTATCGCTTTAGTTGTAGTCAACTGTGTGTTCATCTGATCCTACCTCGGTATTTACAGATACATCCTTTGTATGAGGGTTGTTACTTGATGCCTGGGTAATGGCAACGGGACACAAAACCTTAACTGACCTTACCACACTCTTTTTCTAATCTGTACACCTTCCTCCTGCATTTTTGACATAACATGTCACCAATGCACACAATTTTCCCGAGGAATGAACTGTATCTACTCTGCATAGCGCAGTATCTCTACCACTGGCATAACAGTACTATTACCCAGAGATGTTCTTGAAAGACAAACACAGCAATTTTTGCTCGGCATGATTTTTTTTCGTGACACCTGCAGTATCGAGTAACAGAAAGTGAATGATTTGTGTCCTTGAACAAAGTGTGCTTACACTGAGGTATAGTTCCGTTTGATTGCGTTTAGTTAAAGAGAATTTATGATCTGCATTTCCATAAATGTCTTTTATATCAACAGCAAACATACATTTAAGGAAGAAAATAGAAGTAAAATGCAGAAGCCTGTATAAAAAAATTAAATTCGTGTTTATACAGGTGAAAAATTTGAAAAAATAAAAGTGTGCCAACAGGTGGATTTGAACCAGGACACAAAATGTTCATTGTGAGAGTCTGCGGTCTATATCTCTGAGCTATACTAGCTATGAACACATACGTCATAAACATAAGCCAGTGTGATAGAAATAGGTTTTCGCATTTTTTATAGGTTTTTTACGAATTTCGACCCTAGGGCAGGGGTGCCTCTAAAAAAATCTTGTTTTAAATCATTCTTTAGATCAAAATCTATCAAAATTTCATAATTCAATTTAGGGGCAAGCCTGCCCTAAAGGACTTCTATGCCAAAATTCACGCAAAAATTAGTGCTTTAACGGACAAAATACTGCTTTGGCCAACTTTGGAGGTTAATTTCAAAGTTGAAAATAAAAAATTTTAGGTTCAAAATGCTAATTTGAAAAATGTAGACAAATATATGATAGAAAACAACTAAAGAAAATTTATTTTTAAATGTGACTTTTTCTGGAAATTGTTCTCTCCTATAGGTCAAATCTTTTGTTATAACGAATACATCCTTTCAATCAGAAAAGCTCACTTGAGCCTTCGGCTCAGGTGAGCTAAAAACTTGAAAAACCACACGGAATTTCTTTAGAAGAGTTGGGTTGTTTTGTGGAAAAAAGGGAAGGGGTGCTTGATGTTACCTTGCATGTTTGCCATGCTGATTTTATTAATTTTAATGTTACATGTTTTTCCGACTTGTCAGACAGATGGACAACATTTATTTCTTCTTCAATGTCGAGGTCAAATATTCCTGATCTATGTAACTTTAATGATATCTGAATTGTTAAAATGATCGTTTTCAATTTCAAAATGACGAACTTGTCAAATTCAAATTGTAATATCTGCCAGTATCACTTTCCAGGTATCATGTTCACTAAAACTGTTTATCCATTTATTTATTATTACTACACCATTCATTTGTAAGAATGCTTGTCTCTTCAGCACTTGTAGTACCGTTTTCATCTCCAGCATCGTCTGACATTTTGGCGGTTTTTGTTTGTCAAGGATCTTTTAATCAGTTTATCATAAATACTATGAAGAAAGTGTTTTATTGATCGGTGTTGTTAAATTAATGCAGAGATTAAACCCGATTCAAAAAATCTATTTTGACGAACGAAAGAACTTGTAAACATTGTAAGATGATAAAATGGTTAAAAAACAAATCCTATTTTTTGGCCAATAAAATTTTTTCAGCCATGGGTGTTTTTCACTGAAGCAGGCGGCAATTCCAAACAAACAATAATTTTATTTTGGCCTCGTGCATTTGAGTGTAGTCTACTTGTGTGCAAAATTAGATTGAAATCAGACCAGAACTGTAGGAGGAGTAGCGTTTTGAAAGTATTTCACTTTTAGTAACCATGGCAACATAGTTCATCGAAATCAAGAACCGATAAATTGAAATATGTACCTTACTGTAGTCTACTTGTGTGCCAAGTTACATTAAAATCAGACCAAAACTGTACGAGCAGTAGCATTTTGAAAAATTGTTTACAGATGGACAGACAGACAGCTAGATGGAGGGACAATGAACAGACAATGGAGCTCTTCTGGTCTCTGACCAGTAGAGGTAAAAACGGAAAAAAAAGACAGATAGCTAGATGGATGCTGGACAAGAGCTAATATATACAGTCCCTGGATCACTCTACTTTCCCATTTTTCCATTTGCTCACTGTTTGTTCAGCATGCGTTCACCATTCATTCACCGTGTGCTCTCCATTCAGCTTTCACAAAGCCTTCAGCGTTTGCTTTGTTCATTTACCTTGTGCTCAGCGTTCACTTATCGTTCAGTCTTTATTGTCATTCGAAACTCGGATGTGAAAGGACTTAATGATTTTATGTACAAAATATTTGTTGTAAGTATATCTCTTTAGAACGATACTGAAAGATTAAATTAAAATATGGCAATGTAGGGATATTTCAAGTGCACCAGAATTTGAGGAGGTCCACCAATGATTTATGACAAGTGGTCCTGTGGTCCACTTAGTAAAAAAGTTGTGCCAACTAGAAAACTGACCAGTCAGCAAGGGCCCCACCGAGGGGTAGAAATATAAGAGTGCCGCTTACAGAATAAGAATTTTAATTGATTACAAAAAATTAAAAATATATGAAGAAGAATATGCAATAACAACTGTATTTATAAAATTAGAATTTCAAAATAATTCCTAAATATCCAACAACCTATAAAGAGTATCCCTGTATTTACATAAGGCAGTAAAAAATATCATATCTATAATAACTCAATTAAATGTATATTCAAACAAGAAAAAAGCATGTGTTTTCAAATATCACCCAGGCTTGACCTTAACTTCAAAACAAACATCAGTTGCAGACAAAGGTTAATTTATCTTAAAGTGACAAATAAAGATAAGCCTGGAAAATTTTCTGCCCAAGACAAGATAATTAATCCCAAGGGGTTAATTGTACTGCTCTCTTATCCTTTTCTTCCAAGTTTACAATAAGAACTCTTTCAGTAATGATAGAATGAGTTCATTATTGGACTACCCGTTAAAATTAATAGTATTCTTGAATTTACAATGGCAGCCCCAAAAAAATGAATAAATAAATAAAATAAATAAATAAAAACAAAAAAAAAAAAAATAAAAAAAAACATATCTTTATGTATATCTTGTTTTTAGAATTCAATAAAATCATAACTCATTGTATATTTTACCAATATAAAGTATGAACATTATTTAAATCCACATTTCAGAGAATGTAAACATCATTCAGAATTGACCTTAACTTCAAAATAAACTTCATTTGCAGACAGAGGTGTTAATTAATCTCAATTTGACAGAAACAGATAATGCTTTGGATTTTCTTCAAGAGGAAAGTTAATTAATCCCATGGGACTAGTTGCAGCTTTCATAGTTTACAATTGGAACATTCTCAGCAGTTATCTCTCTTTGCCCTGGCATTCATTCTAATGTAAAGTTAAAGAATCTACCCCACCACCCCAGCTCCAAACTGGATGACATAGAGAACCAAACTTAGCATCAAAATATGTCTTACTGTCTCTTCAACCAACATACCAAATTTGAACTTAATTGGTCAACTGCAAAAAAAGTTATTAGAAAAAAACAGAAAATTTGTGGATGGAAGAATGACAGACAGACAGACAGACAGACAGACAGACGGACAGACAGACAGAGTGATTACTATAGGGCACCCGCAAATCCTTGCGGGGCCCTAATTAAACCCTGGTTTACAATGAATAAAGGTAATCATTTGCAATGAGATATTAATATTTGAATTGATTCCTAACATACTTACAGATCTGATGTAAGTTGATTTTCCACCCATATTTGGACCAGTTATTATATGAAACATCTGTTGATCTAAAAAAATAAATATATGACAATTTTACTAAAATGAAGTTACTAGATAAATTAAGACCTGCACAGCTTAGAGTAACTTTCAAACCAAGCTTCATTGTACCTGCATTACCAGTGTCAAAAGAGTAAGTTGTTTATTCCTAAATGACAAACTAGAAAACTGACCATTTAGCAAGGGGTACTGAGGGGTGGAAATATAAGGATGCAGCTAACAGAATGAAAATTTTCCTTGATTACATAAATTTGAAAATATTTGAAGGAGAAAAAACAACCACAACTGTATTTATAAAATTTCAAGATAATTCCCAAATATCTAACAACCTGTAAATAGTATCCTTATATTTACATGAGGCAGTAAAAACATCATATCTTGTAATACAGACCCTAAAACGTGCTACTACACCAGTTGCACGGTTCGGTTCGGTTCGTTTTGTGTACGGTACGGTACGCTTCTTGCACGGTACGGTTCGTTTTGTGTATGGTACGGTTCGCTTTGTGCATGGTACGGTACGCTTCTTGCACGGTACGGTTCGTTTTGTGTACGGTACGGTTCGCTTTGTGCACGGTATGGTACGCTTCTTGCACGGAACGGTTCGTTTTGTGAACGGTACGCTTTGGTGAACGGTATGTAAATTAAGTGGGCGGAGCCTGTACGCTTTAGTTTATGATTGGCTACTTCATAAAGTCGTTTATTTCTTTATTATAATCTCTTTATTTTATATAAATGGAAGGACGGTATCGCAAGCATTTTTGATAAGTTTTTTTTTTAAGTTAAAGCTGTTATAAATATTTACAGCTGTATTTTCGTTATTACATTAACTAGTTGTCTTATTAACTGTATCTTTTTTAAATTTACTTTCTGTATGAACTACTTTCAATTTTTAAAATAAAATAATTTTAGTTGTCTATTTATTATCTTATTTCGTACACCATTGCCTTATGGTTCAATAACTTGGAAATAAATCGAACATATCAACAAACACCGCATAACAAGGATGAAAAAAAATATTTTGGTTGCATCGCCATAAAGGCCTTTCTGAATTTTTTTTTTTTTTAAGAATAAGCCTACATATGTTTATTTTCATTTTCATTTTCCTAATTGAATACAATTATTATTTTAAATATTCACTTATCACACTTTTAAACAAATGAGTTTGATTTTATAAATCCCTCGTGCTTTCATTTCGTCTACCATTCTTTTTACGTTCTTGTCGCTGTTGCTTCATTAAAAAAAAAAAAAAACAACAACAAACAAACAAAGAAAAACATTTTTTCTCTTGACCGAATGATCAAACAAACAATTAAAAAATAAGTTATTATTTTCTTATTTATTTGCTCACTAGGAAAAAATGCATTGAAAAGTAATCGGTAGAAGTGAACACAATTAGTGCAAAATATTCCTTAATTTTTGTGCGCGTAATTGTTTTCCTTTAAACATAAATTTTCCATCAATGTGTAAAAACGCTTTTTAAAGGGAAGTTACAATCAAGAAAACGGTTAAGACAGCTTCAATTCCATCTACAATGTATAAATGTTTATAATATATATTGACTGCAAAGAAAGATTTCCGAAATAAATAATATGTCAAAATGTTACAAATAAATAGTCCGTTTTCAATTATTTAGAAAATAAATAATATGCAGCCATGCATGTTCTCAAAAACTTTGATAATGAATAATTTGCCCATGCCGGGTGCTATGCCCCCCCCCCCCCCCCCCCACCTTGTTTCCTTGTCAAACTCAAACTTTTTTTATTGAAGATCTAGAAGAAAAGCTGACTGCACATGAAATTCTACTTATCTGCTGAATAAAACTGGTTCATTGTTGTAGACCTACTGTATAAGACAGCAAACTGTTGATACACGTGTGAATGTAAGCATATCTGGACTAACGGGATTAGATACGGTTCAATATACACAGCTTAAGTTTTTACCTGTGCACCCTGATGACAATAAATGATCGAAATTTTCAAATGTTTTAGAGTAAATAACGAAAGCATAGAAAGATGTCAGTCTAGATAACGAGACCATTGCAAGAAATGTACAGTATGTGTTTCTTTAAAAAAAAACAAACTTGGATGAATACGCATGCACGGGCTACGCATTTTTAAAAAAAAAAAAAGATTAAACTGGGCTCTATGTGTAAATTCCAGGTAACATATTTTACCTGCAGGTTTCAGTGAATAAAGCAAATGAAATTTGAAAATGCTTTAAATAAAAATTAATTCTGACATATATCCAGATATTTTTTTTGACTACTTGTATTAAACTGAAAATTCCATGCGAAAATGTGGCGATCGAACTTTTTGACAGTATGTTATATTGGCGATAACATCTTGGGTTGGTCAGAAGAGTGTTAACCAACACATATTATTTATATATACATCGCTTTTATTTATTTTTTTTCTAGTGATTGAGAGGCGTTTACATTTTAACATGTCCGGTTTTAACTTGACAATTTAGTACGTAGTTTTTTGTTTTGTTTTTTTTTATTTATTTATTTATTTATTTTGCTGAATCTGTAATCATTTCTCCCTAAATCTATTACTTACATGAATAAAAAAAATGATTTTAAGGGCTTGATTTCAGAAAATAGCACAGAATCCAAATACTTTTTTTTTCAGTGTGTCCTGGTTTCCGAGAACGTTAACAGAGACAAGAATAGGGTAGATAAAAACTATAGAAATAAACGATAACATTTAATTCACTTTTATTTATTATAAATTGTACACGAAAATATTACGATGCTGCATTTAATATAAAAAAGTTAGTCAAGCACAACCCGATCATGCATAGCGAATAAGGAATCGCCTCACACTCTGTCGAGTTGTTTTGAAGTCGCAACTATAGTTTTGAGTAGTTTCCTTATATAAACAAAATTAAGTCCAGATGCATGGTACTTAATAATGATATTTTGAATCTCTAGGGTTATTTTCCATACTTCTTTAACGTGCGCTGCGTCGAAAGAAATAAAAAAAAATTACTTACTGTAATTGGTCATCGCAAGATCGGGGCGTGGCTTGCATAATTATTTAAAAAATTATTCATGAACGGTACGGTTCGCTTTGTGCACGGTACGGTTCGCTTTGTGCACGGTACGGTACGCTTCTTGCACGGTACGGTTCGTTTTGTGTACGGTACGGTTCGCTTTGTGCACGGTACGGTACGCTTCTTGCACGGAACGGTACGGTTCGTTTCTGAGGTGTAGTAACACGTTTTAGGGTCTGTAACTCAATTAATTAAATGTATATTTAAACAAGAATGAAGCATGTGTTTTATAAAATGCCAGCCTTCAGTGAATGCAAATATCACCCAGGCTTGACCTTAACTTCAAAAAAATAACATCAGTTGCAGACCAAGGTTTAATTAATTTTAAAGTGACAGATAAAGATAAGCCTCTAAATTTTCTACAGCAGACAAGATAAATTAATACTGGGGATTAATTGTACTGCTCTCTCATCCTTTTCTTCCAAGTTTACAATAAAAACTTTTGCAGCAATGATAGAATGAGGTTACAGTCAAACCTATATTAAGCAGTCACTTGCGGGAATCATTAAAAGTGACCTTTATAGAGAGGTGACCTTTGAAGAGAGGTTCATCTTTTTTTAAGAAAAATTCTTTTCCAATTTATGTAAGTTCTGTGTTTTAAAATACTACATCATAGAATATTAAAGAAAGATGTGTTTTGGACATCAATGGCATCAGTTAGATTTTTTTGAATTTAAATAGTCTCAAGATTAGGTTCATGATAAATATGATGACTTCAACAAAAAATAAATTGAGTCTAATTGAGCATTGCATTATCCTCCCTCCAAACAACAACAATACTTTTTTTTATTATAAGATTATTTTATCATGCTGTGCCATGAATAAAATATAATGTATTTTTCTTTATCTAAACTGCCTCTAAAAAAACAAGTTTAGTTAGTCCTGATAGTTGTATGTTTAATAATATGTAAATAGTTGCGTAATAAACAGAGAATTCATAATATTCTTAGTTTATCAAAGCAGTGCATAATAAAAATTGATATGAAATTCACAGATGTTGTGAGCAATGAAGCGTGACTAATCCTAACGGTCGTCTTAGCTAGTTGAAAATCACGAGATAATTAGGACACATTGAGTATACAAAACAGTTAATTAGGGTTTCTACAAATAATACGTTTCCTATGTGTTAAAAACGGTCTGTCATGTGTTTACACAATTACACCTATCGGAGCTGGGCATGCCAAAAGTGAACTAATAATTAGGAAACACCTAATTATTGTATCCATTAATAGATATATAAGGATGAATTATGTATCACTCAGATTTTTTTAAACCAGATTCCAATTCAATAAGATTAAGATTCTTGTAAGTCTGTTATCTTGATAACCTTTTCGGTTCACTAGCACCCTTGTTTAGTTTTGTTAAAAAAATATTAAATAAATTATCCAATATTTTAAATGGTTTTAACAAGGCCAATTATTTTTTCATAATCTCGCTACACAAGACCAATTATTTACATTAGTGACAAAAATTGGGAGTCACCTGAATTTAGATCTGGTCACGTGATCGGACAAGATGGCCACTATATACGAGGTAAAATGGCGATTTTACATGAAATTTGATGACCACTGACCGCTTTACGCAGGTGACCGCTTAATAGAGTTACATTGTATAGGAAAATTCATTGGGAGGAAATAAAATGACCGCATAGGACAGGTGACCGCTGGATAAAGGTGACCGCTATGACAAGTTTGACTGTATTATCCAATTACCTGTTAAAACAAGCATTCTGAGAGTATTGCATTAGCAATACTAGTCCCCTACCGGCAAGTGTAATCTGGTTCCCGTTGAAAATTGAAAATGCCATAATTCCGTCAAAAATCAATGAAGCAGAACGAAATGCAAACTTGATCTATAACTAATCAAGGTAAAGTCACATACCAAAAATCAGCTCAATATCTGCAAGCGTTTAGGAAAAAAGTGCGAAAAACCCTGGAAAATTGAGAAGTTCGTAATT